TTTATTTTTCTAAAAATAAATAAAAATTCCACTGAAAGGGCAAATAATAATCAATTAATTTTGGTATTTATTTCAATTAAAAGCATAACATAGGGGTCCTCTTTAGGTCCCTAAAATAAAAGGTTCCTCTTCGAACAACTCTCATTATTACTAATTTGGCCATTTAGCAATTAGGCAATTGGAGAAAGGTAGGCTTCTAAGCCGCCTCCCCGATTCGAATAATATCTTTGAAATTAACTAAAGCCACATCTTTCTCGCAACATGCTAAGTATAAGTTTTCAGTATTGCTGTATAGCCATTTAGTTAGGGATTTCTTACGATCGGATTAATCAAAATCTTGATTCAGCCTGCTCACTTTTGACGTTTCAGAACTTCCACAGAACTTAGTATATCGCGTGAAATACGCGAATAGATTGTTGCTTTCATTTGTAAATACCGGTGATTGAAGTACAAATGGGGTACTAGAGTGGAGCAAACCAGCAAATCTAGACTTTTTCGATGGCCCTGACGATTACATACTTTTTTAAATAAGAAATTCATTGAATAACACAGTTGTTGTAATAAATAAATATTTATTAATAATAATAATAAATAATAATATTAATAATATTAAAAATGTCTCTAAGTGAAATGTCTCTAAGTGAAGCAAATATTATATAATAGATAAAGTTATTTATAAAATTTACTAGAGCAAATAAAAAATCGAATTTTGCATTACGTGAAACGAATTCAATCATGTTGGTACTTTCTGTAGCACAAATAAATATTGCTGTTCATTTGCTAATTCAACATTCACGTCCTCTTTTTTTATAATTTTATCATGCAAAAAAATGCCATTTATTTTAAAACCTGAAATTAAACTAAACGTTTAAAGAGAGATTAATAAAATATTTATTTATTTGGCATTTCGCCATTCATCTAACCTTTAAAACATTTATTCAAAAATCTATTCAACCTTCAAGAAGCATTGCTAATCGAACTCGTCCGTATATCCGATGTGCATTGAAATAAATTTGATCGTTTCCAATTGGGATTCCTAGGAATAGGAGACCATCATTTTTCAACAAACAGTGGATTTTTCGTATCTCTCGTATGTCTCCTATTGGATCTAAAAATTGTCAAATTCATGAAATTATCAAAATAATTAAATTTATTAGATATAATGCAATGAAATACCTAATGGATCACCAAATCGTCCAAGACCGCTATGTTCAACGCTGGAAAATATGACAGCGAAATCGAAAGCCTCCAATTGACTATAAATAAAGAAAATCTTAATAAATTAATTTCTTAAATATATAAAAAAATTCAAATTCACAAATTATTTCTTAATCCTCTTCTTATGAATGTAACAAGGATTGTAATATATTTAAAAAAAACAGTAAGTAGAATAAGCAACTTTAACCTTTTTAAAAAGTTGAATTTAAATGATAAGAAGGTGATAAGAAAATGATAAGTGAACGAATGGTTAATAATGGAACTTTTAGCAAAATTAGAACAACTAAAAAATTATATAGCATATATAAATGTATCTATTAAATTATCTATTATATAGCGCAGATTTTCCATATTTTCTAAGAAATTCAATGTAAAAAGAGTTATAATCAACTAACTTTGACCAGTTTTTGGCTAAATCTAATGCATGAAAGTATTGCATTTGTGGATGTTGAATAGTCAAATTGTAATAATCGACAGTAATTACCTTAAGCAAATTTTTGATTTGATAATGATTTCAATCATAAAAATTTAATTAAAAAAGGCTATCATTATCAGAAAATAATTTAACTCCTAAAATGTTAGAATTTTATCAAATTTTTTATGAAAAGCAATTGTTGATCAAAATTAAGTGAAAATTTTTATATTTTAATGGCTGATTGTGCATTATCAAATGTAACTATTAAATTATCTATTATAATAAATATTACTTTTTTAGCGCCATTTCTAAGACACATAATTTCTACCCACGGGCTAATCGATCCAATGACTAACCCGATTTTGCCTTGAACTGAGAAAATTTTTGTCGCAACATGAACAGCCTCTGTAAAAAAATCAAAACTGATTTTCATCAAACCATTAACTGAATAAATCATTTTTGCTTTCATTTTTATTCATTTGTGATGATTAGAAAAACCAAATAAATGATTTATCGGGAAATGAATTGGCTAATTTGCCAAAAAAATTTTGAGAAATAATTATCTGAATTTAAATTAATTAATTTATTATATTTAAGATATTTAGATCAAAAATTTAAAAATAATTCGAAGGATATAAAAAATTATGAAAATTATCGTCAAAGATATGATTAAAGATATAAACTACAAAAGTAAAAGATTCAAGCGAGATTAATTTAAGTTTAATGGCGCATAATTCCGAGTAGCAGTGCTGGGATTCTATGAAATCACACACATAAATAGCCTATCTTTTGAAAATTCGGGTGATGCTGGTATTTGCGCTTTTAAAATCTGGCTAGGCAACAAACGAGTGGAGGAAACCTTAACAGAAATGGCAACCACTGATAAAAAAAAAGGGAAAAAATTAAATGAAATTAAATACAGATCGTTAAATTATTTTAAAAAAAAATTATTAAATTTCTTGACAATGTTTTTAATAAAATTTTCCGTTTCCCAATTGTTTCCCTTTCATTTGTTCTATACTAATTGATAATAATAATTTTTCTTTCCTAAACATAAAAAAATTAGCAAAAAAAATGAAATGATTGTAAAAATGAAAATAATAATTATAATGAAAATAGCAAAATATTTGTATTTCTCAGAGTTTTAGCTGGAATAGCGAATAAAGAGAACAAAAAAGAAGGCATAAAATATAATGTATAATATAAAAATAAAATATGAAATATACTTCCTTCCTCTCCATAGCCTTTATAGGAATATGGATGATCTTTAATATGTGTATCAATAAATATTTTCGACCAAATTGGCGAAATGCTTACGACTCTTCTATCGTCGAAATAGCTAAAAGTTTCATTTAAGAATCGAATACAAATTATTTGTTTGAATTGTATAAAATTTGGTTTTTTTTGAGGTTTTCTGAGAATATTTTCCAAATTTTCGTAAAATCTTATACGAGAATTTTTTTCATGAGCCAATCCCGTTACTGGTTAGATTCGCTCCGCTGGCTTGTCTCATTGGATATGCCAGGGAGTCTCTTGGCAAGTCAGAATTCAGTTTTTTGGAACAATTAATCGACGAAATTATTACTAACAAAATCCAAGCTTATTAGATTGAAAATTTATTATCGACTTCACATTATTGAAGGAAAATTTCGATTTAAAATGGTGATTTTATCCTGTAAGAAAGTTTTTAGTATTATCAGTAAATTATTATTTTTAAATACTATTTGTTAACTACAGCGTGACCATTCATTGTGAACATATCGCGGTATTGTAGTGGAATTTCTTTAGGTGGTACCAAATTCGGATTATATTGTTTTGCGACTTCAAGCCATTCAGTAAAAACCTATAAAATTCTTGTTATAGCCAATATAAAATTTTATAATTTTATAATTTTATTTGAGAAATGTGCGATACGAATTTCATTGTTTGAATCAAAAAAAAATTATATTTTAAATTAATTAAATTATACGAATTATATTTAAAATTATGTTTTATTCAACTTTCTGGACCACTATTTTCTTATTTTTTTATTTGCTTATTAATTCCAATTCCAACTTCATTTCTATTTTAACAATAAAGATGAGAATGAGTTGACACCAAATTTTTACGCTAGCTTCTTCTTCTTCTTCTAATAGCTCTCACCATTACTGGTTAGGCTTGTTCCGCTGGCTACGAGAATAATTCTGTCACTCAATTCTGTCATTTTCGAAAAATTTCATGGTAATTTTTTATCATATAAAAAAAATAAAAAAGGAAAAAACCTCGGGGCATGTTTGCTTCTTCACTTGCTTTAGTATAGGAATGTGCTCCTCATAATTTATTGTATAATAGCCATATTGACTGAATATTTCTGCCTCCAAATCACTGTATTGTATAAGACCTCTCGCGGTTTTCACAAAAATTACTCTGAAGTTTGTTCTTTCCCGATAATAAAATTTTTTAAGTCGTATTTATTAATATATTTTTTCCTTAAAAAACGTAGCATAGTATTTTATTTTTTCCTATTTTTTCTTGCGAAATAATCTTAATTTGATCGGTGGAGTAATTCAACGAGTTATTGTTTTTCGAATTTTCATTCGGAATGCCGATGGAGCTCGTGAAAATGAATTCTACGAAAGTCCGAGTGATGTTGGCTGCACATTTGTCTCCAAAGGACGCTCTTTGCCTGGTGTCCAAAAAATTAGCTGAGCAAGTCTAAGACGAAAAAATTAATATCGCAACAAATATATCATAAAAATAAAATTTTACTCAATTCGAATTCGTTTAATATCAAAATTCTCTGGTGCAATTATGATTTTATTAGTAAATTTGAAGTTTTGTTCAATTTTTGTTGAATCGTTTATTCGTTCATTTATATGGAAATCCATTAATGCCTTTCCAGTGATATAGCAAATAGGTAAATAATATTTTACAGATGCAATAAGAATAATTGTTATCAGTGTTACGAAAATAGCCTTTTTATGAATAATACAAAGTCGTCTCATAATTTTTGCCGTCCACATAATTTTTTCCAAATTTTTATTTTTATTTTTATATTATATAAATTTTATATGATTTTGAATTTTTAGATTTCTCAAATCTGTTGATTTGCAATTTGCTGAAAATGGACCATCTTTAACAATAAAAATAAATTTATCAATTAATTATATTATTAAATATTTTAAACATTTAACTGAATTCGTAATAATTAATTAATAATATAATTAATAATTTTTTAATTTTTATTCTGAATAATAACGATTGTTACTACGTCTAAATAAATTATTACGCCTAAATAAATTTAATTGTTACCTAAATAAATAAAATTCATATGAAATGAATGAATAAAATGGCGCATAATAATGAAAAGTGAGCCAATGAAAATTTAGGCAATCAAAATTTAGGCAATGAAAATTTATGCATAATTATTCATTTGAAAAAATGTGTACTAATTTAGGCGTAACAATCGTCGCTTTAATAAATATTTAATAAATATTGCTAATGGTCGTTTGCCGAAGGATTATTCTAATGAATTTACGTAATGAATCTATAACCGAGAAGAGAAGAGTGATGAACAATGTTTCACGTAATAAAAAGCCATTGTTTGAAGAATTCGATAATATTTCAAGATAATCAAATTGATAACAAATTTATGATATAATAATTTGCAATATATAATATATAATATTCAGTGATAAATGCAGATAACCCAGTGTTTTTGTTATACATTATCATTTCGAGCATCGTTTTTTCTTTTTTGTTGCTAGAAGCTCTGCCTTTATCCTCAAGTGACTTTCTAACAAAATAACTTCATCAATAGCCAATATGGCCAGGAATGAAGATCCTTCAACTTTTGGTTATAACAAAACGATGGGACAATGAGCCAGCGTTGTCGAACAGTCTTAAGCTGTCAATTTTTTCAATCAATTCCAATATTTGAATACTCTTATGATCTCAACAATTTTTTTTGTATTCTTTTATTTATAAAAAAAGCTTTTCTCTTATTCCCTGGGGATGGCCACGATCATTTTAAACTCCGGGTCCTCTATCAGAGACCGAGGAGATTGAAGGTTCTATACAGTATTTTAACTGCTCCTAATAGTACGCTGTTTTGGATAGAGATCTCTGATTTTCTTCCTGCAATTTTTTGAAGCCACTTTTACAGTTTAGGGGCCACAGTTCCAAATTCTAATTATCTGAAATTAACTGAAATTACTTTGGCATTTACTTTTCACATTTTCCTTAGTTCCTCTTTAAATCCTTGGTATTCTTTCTTTCTGATTGCTATTTCTGATCACTATTCCCGTTGTTTATGTTTTTTAAATTATTTTATATTTTATATTTTTAATTAATTATTTTATATAATTTTATATATTATAATTGTTTTCATTATATATATAAATTCCTTATATTTGCACAAAACGAAGTTTACACATGGTTTTTTTTTATTCAGTGAACATTTTTATCAATAAATTTGTGGTGATCGCATGTTACCGGTATTATTTTTGGTATTCGAAGAGTCTAATAAGCAAATATCAAGCGAAATATTCTTGCATAAATATTAAAATATTGGAATCATCGCCTTTTTAATCATGCGACTATTAGCATAACTATCGTGAAAATGAGAATATAATAGTAGTCTTATACGCATTCATAACCGTCATAGGCAGCTATTTTCCTCTCTTTTCATGTTTCGTTACGACGATGATCTCGCAAATAGTGATAAGACTTTCCTTATTTTTGAATCCTCTAACTCTATCACCTAACTTTCTGGGTTTTCAACATGAAACGAGAGATACGAGAGATATTTAATTCTTCACAACTCAACACATTTCTCTTCGAGCTTGCTTGAAAGCATTTCACTTGTTAATCAGACTTTCATCTTTCCATAATTATAGTATTGAAACAGTGATTACTGTGCGATATTTTCGTCATCGCTAACATTTTTTAACCGAAGGTAAAAAATTAAATATGAAAACGAGAGCCAAAGGGCATTTTAATGCTACCTTAAGATCCTTTAATAAATTTTTTATTTTTTTATCTAATTAATTTCTTTATCTGATTTCATATTTTCGAGGCATAAATTTGGTACTCTCCTGAAACAATGAGAGAAACTGGCAGAAACATTTCTTAAACCTATTTTATCATATTGTAAGATTTTATCATATTGTAAGTCCTCTTATTTTTAAAAATTTTTCAGCCTGGAAGTAAGGATTTACCGTCAAATAGCAATTGAGAATAGTAAAGCTTAAAAGCTTAAAATATTTTATGTTTCAGATAATTTGTTCTTTGACAATCATGCTATAGCACTTCTTCCAGACTTTGATTATCGATAATAAAAAGGTTGATATTTTGATGTTAATCGGTAAGTTTCTGTTGCTACGTCTGCTATTGTTTATCGGTTTGGGAAAAAAACGAATATATTCATCAAAAATCTGCCAAATTCAATATCCTCCATTTCTTCCCTCCCACTCCCTCACGGCAAATAAATTTTCTATGCATTGAATTCGATTATTCATTTTGAAATCCTCTTGTTTTCTTTTGGAACCTACGTAAGCCTTCAAATCATTTAATCTCCCTCTTTCTTCCAAATAACTTCAACTTCAATAAGCAACAACTTTTACATATTTATGTATCAAATATTTTACAAGAATGACTAGAAAAAATTTGACAATTAAATAAGAAAATTTAATAAAAAAAAACAAAAAAAAAAGTTCTACTATTAGACTCGCTCCGCTGGTTTATAGACAAATGTACCAAGAAATCCTTTGGCGATAGAAGTATAGGTAGTCGCTAGCATCATCCGAATTTTTGGACAACTTTACTCTTGCTGGGAGTAGAACCTCAGCATCAACGCATCGAATTGAGCACCAACCCACTGAGCCATCTTATACCCCAAAGCGATTTTAAGCATAAAGAATTTTTATGGGAAAAATAAACTAAAAAAATTTTATTGGATAAAACTTTAATGGAAAAGGAAATAAACGCTAATCAATTTTAATTAATTAATTAATTAATTTAATTAATTTTTTAAAGAAAAGAAAAGAAATTTTTAGTATAAATTTGGTAGGAAAGAAATTTTATAAAATAAACTGAAGAAATTTGAATGATTTGGAATAAGGAAAAAGTTGAGAATATAAGAAATTTTGAACGGAATAAAGTGGGAATTTAATCACATCAAAACTTTGGTATTATTTTAATTTCATCTAATGAATGCCACCTTATCTCATATCTCTCATAATTCCACTTTATCAATGCCGTTATAGACTTTCGCTTCATCGAAACCTAGCAGAGCTATAAAGTTCCACGTTATGACAGCTCTTCAATTTTTCGCTGTAGTGAAATAGCATTACCTCTTTAAAATCTCTTTAAAATATGGTATTTCTTTTCTAATAAAAATTTTTTTCCTTAATTTTCTTGAAATAGGAATATTTCATTAAAAAAAAAAAAAGATGAATAGATGAAATTTTTATTCAAATTTATCGCTCATATTCGATATTTTTGCAATACAAATAAATAATGGCGTTGATCCAATTCAAAATTTATATCATTTATTTTGATCAATTTTGAATGGAAGAAAATGCTTTTTATTCTAAAACCTGAAAATTTAACACTCGAAGAAATCGTTGGACATTCCTTTAACAATTTTGCATTTATCTGATCTGACCTTCTAAAAAATTTTCAAACTTTAAGGAACCTTCAAAGAGCATCGCTAATCGGATTCGTCCATATACACGATGTGCATTGAAATGAATTTCGTCATTGCCGACAGGAACGGCTAAGAATAAAAGACCCTTCTTTTTTAATAAACAGCGTATTTTCTTAATCTCTCGTATATCCGAAATTGGATCTGAAATCTTCTTTCTGTTATACTCGTTTAACACCTCTGAGATGATTTATGCTTTTATCAAAATATTTGGAATTAATAAGGTCGATAAAATAAGAGAATCGAAATGATATGTGAACACTACCTATCGGATCGCCATATCGTCCGAGACCGCTATGTTCAATACTGGAAAATGTAACAACAAAATCGAAAGCCTCCGAATAACTAAAAATAGATAAGGTTTTTTTTCGGTAAATTTTCTCAAATTTTTTGTTCTAATGCAGTGAATGCAATTTCGACCGAAATCAGATTTTCCAGAATCGACAGACAGCGAAATGAATGAACCTTAAATAACCAAAAAAATAATGATCCTCGAATCTCGAACCAAGTGTCTGCGAAAATTCCAAGAGAATGGGATTGACATCATGCTAACCTCTATTAATAAAAAACTTAGTAACATATAAGCAGCTGATTTTCCTTAGGCTTTTTTCTTTAGCGTTAAAGAACTGTTGAAAGCAAAGAAGTACGATTGGGTCAGGAAAGGTGCATAGAAAGCACTTATGGGATAAGGTCCGGAAAATTTTTTTAGAATTATATTATAAGGATTAGAACAATTATTAGGCTTTGGTGCTATAATTTGTAATAAATATTGTATTTTAATTAATCAAATGAGAGACGAGGTTGACAATTTTGACAGTTTTTCAAACAAGTTAACTACTAGTTATTCTCAGAGAACATTGAGTTATAATAATAGCAATAGAATGAAAGAGCGATTTTGTGGAAAATTTCGAATTTTTAAAAAAAATCAACAAAAATAAATACTTATGCACATTTCTTTAATAAACCCCAGTTAAACCAGAAAAGAAATATCCTGAAATCTCCTTTACTGGATCGATATTCATTACGAAAAGTAACTAACTTTGCCCAGTTTTTGGCAAATTCTAAAGCATGAAAATATTGCATTTTTGGATGTTGAGCAGTGAAATTCCAATAATCGACAGTAATCACCTCAAACAAATTTTTTCATTGAATTCAAATTGATTCATTCATTCAATTTAATAACGGTTCAGAATTAAGTGCTCGAAAATGCTACGCATAAATATAGCTTTCATGTTCAAAAAATGAATTGCTCGCTTTAAATTTGCCATTTTTATATTGGCTTATGAGATAGTATGATAGATAATTTAAAAGAAATTAGAGGAGAAATATTTCCCGAAAATGATTCAAGACATCCGGAAATATGAATTTTATCGAGAGATTTATGCTAGAAAGCATTACCTTTTTGGCCCCATTTTTGAGACATATGATTTCCACCCATGGAGTAGTTGTTCCAATGACTAATCCAATTTTATTTTGAATAATGAAAGCCTTTGTTGCCGTATAAACAGCCTCTATAAAAAAAAAAAAAAAGTATTAATATTTCTATTATTTTTATTTATTTCCAGTATTAGTATTAATATTGGTTTAATTAATTAATATTAATTTATATTAATACATATATTAATATAATATTAATAGATATATTAATATAATAATATTAATTTTATATCAATTTTATATTTTGCTTTCATAATAGAAGCAAAATAATTCATGAAAAACGAATCAGCTAAATTTATTAAATTTACTAAAATTCGAAATAAAATAAAAATATCCTGAAATCTCCTTTACTGGATTGATATTCATTAATTAAGAAGGATGACATAGAAAATAATTAGATAAAAAATAAATAATATTATGAAAAATATTAATAAAGGTAGGATATGCTAATTTATCAATGTGGATTCACTAAACCTACTAAAAATTACTATTTCTTCTTTATCATTAGAAATTAAAATTGAAAAATATATTTAAATATATTTTTATATATTCATATAATATATTTATACTTATATAATATAGTTATATAATATATTCTATGTATTTATATAATATATATATATATTTATATATTATATATTTATATGTTTATATAATATATTTATATATTTATACTTTTAAATATATTTAAATATACTATGCAATTATTGTGTTGTAATGATATTTTCTCTCTCTCTCTTTCTCCGAAGATCTCTAGAAAAGTGAATGTCCTCATGGATCTTCCGATCCACTTTAAAATTCCGAAGGATGGATGACATATGAATCAAAGAGAGATAGAGTCATACATCAGTCTTCATAAAAATTTTTTAAAAAAAAAGAAAAAATTGAAAAAAAAGTGATTCTTTAATTTGTTATTTATTCATAATATTATTTATTTAATTATTTTAATAATTTTAATTCTACAAATTATTTACATTCAAACTATTATTTATGTATTGCAGTAATCTCATTTTTTTTGTATGACTCCAGAAAAATTCAAAATAATTATATTATATTAATATTAATTTAATTATATTAATATTAGTTCGATAAAAATTCAAAATAATCCAATAGCCAAAAATTGGCGAGTGAGACGTTCTGTGTACAATTCGGCTACTATTGTTTAAACCATAAATTCTAAACTATTGTAGATTACTCATATTTACTATTTAGCTACAGTTTCTACTACTATTATAAATAGAATGTTCTACTCGATAATGAGTATTTATACCCAGTATAATCACTCGATAACTTTTATGCAAAATTTTTCAATATAACCCTCAATCTCCTAGGCTTCTGATAGAGCGCCAGAGGTGAAGAATGATTATTGCTCTGCCCCTCTCCTTTACTCCTCTCCCACTCCTTCCCAAGGAATGAAAAAGAACATTTAGAATGGAGTGCGAAAATATACTTCCTTCATTTCCATACTGTTTAAATGAATGTTTTTTCATATGATAGTCAATAAATGCTTTCGACCAAATAAGCGTTGTTTTAATTGATCTATCGTCGAAATAACTAAAAATTATATTCGATTATTATTATTTATTACTTTTTTATTTATTATTTATTATTTATTTGTTATTTATTCATAATTTCATTTATTTTATTATAAAGGATTAGAAGAAAATTATTTAGATAAAAGAGAAATTTTTATAAAATTTTTTTATGAATTTACGAAAAAATTTTATTAAATTATATGAATTTTCTTAAAATTTAGAAAAGAAAAAAAAACTTATCAATGATTAATTTTGAAATAGCTGTTAGCCTAGAAATTAATTTGTTAAATCTAGCAATAATGAAAAACTATTCGAATTTATATCTGCATTATAGATAAATTAGCAAGAATTTTGCTGCTATGTTATCAGTTCCTATTCCAGGAATAATTTCGCTTGATAAAATTTTTTTTAAAATAATTTAAATACTATTTCTTAGTAATTGCATGACCATTCATTGTAAACATATCGCGATGTGCTAATGGAATTTCTTCAGGTGGTTTCATGCTCGAATCGTGTTGTTTTGCCACTTCAAGAAAATCAGCGAAAACCTCGAAAATTTTATTTTACCATAATCAATATAAGTTTCAATAATAGTAATAAGTAATAATAATAATAATAGAAATTTATTTTCAAAAATTTTCAATCTAATCTATCGTTGGCATATTAAAATATTTTAATAAATTTTTAAAAACCATACGATTATTCATTTTTTTCTTTTATCTTTTATTTTTCTTTTTTCGACATTTTTTCATTTCATTGTTTAACGCGTAAATATATTTAATTAAAAATTTTTGCGAAAGTCTCGGTTTGTTTTCAGAAATTATTTAATCTTATTTAAATTATTTAATTATTTTTAATCTTATAGGATAATTATTTCATATGGAAAAACTGAGGTACCTTGGCACATGTTTGCTTTTTTAATTGCTTTAGTACGGGAATTGGCTTTTGATTTTGTTGTATAAAATAGCCATGTTGATTGAAAATTTCTTTCTCCAAATCGCTATATTGTTTATTACCTTTCGCGGTTTTAATATAGAATCTTCTAAATTTTTGATAAATTTTGATAAAATTTTTAAATATCTCTATTTTTTCAAAAATATTCAATCTGACATTGGGAAATATTCAATATTTAATAATTCTTATTCGTTTATCATTTTTTTTCTAATGATTTTTACATAAAGCTCATATTCTCTTTTGGTTAAAATTTTGGTTCATCTTTTCTTGCAAAATAGTTTATCAAATGTAAGATAAACATTTAAGATAAGCCGATTTTTTTTTCTATTATAAGAGCAGTCACCATTATGGGTTAGGTTCCTCTGGCTTGTTGCACTAGACAAATACGCCAAAGAACCCCTTGGAAATGATAGAAGTGCGTCGCTCGGATTTTTGGATTTTCGGATTTCGGCAGGTTTATTCCTTCCAAGAATTTCAATATTGGCACGCCAAAATTGAGCAGCAACCCACTGAGCCATTTTTTGTACTTCTTTGCTTTTCTCTAATAAGCTACCTTGCTGCCTGTCGAAAGAATGGTCAACGAATGATAAACTGATATATATGTTAACTATGATTCTGTTAAAAGATAATCACTGCTTATAATTAAAATCCTACTTTTGAACAGGCGTAGTACCAAGCCAACCACCAGGTTTTTTTGAAGTCGCAAGTTCTTTAGTGTTGCTAGATAAATAATTTTTTTCGATATTTTTTAATCCAAGTATTTGTTCAGTTCCAAAAGATTGCATTTTTTCATAAATATTGCAATGAGATGAATTCTGGCAATATTCAGAAGCAAAAAAATATATGATAATGATTGTACATACTGATAAAATAATTTTTATTTGCATTTGATTAGATAATAAAATGATCCAATTCTTATCCATTCTTTCTAAATTCATAAATATACAAATGAATGCTTTAATGAACGCTAAATTTTAATACGCGCTAAATCTGATTTTATATAATATTCCTTGCTTGATAGATCTTATCAGCAAGGATTTCTTTTTAAAAATATACAGTGGAATCCAGGTTTCAATATCACCAGAGACACGCAAAACATTCTTTAAAGAATTTACTTCTCAGTCGTAATATCGTAATAATAGGTGATTAAAGTGGTGATAACGGACGCCTAGCTAAAACTTTAGGTATTTTCATAGAATAATGGAAAAAGCAAATCTTTCAAAGCATCATTTAGGCTGCTCTGAGATTCTAAAACCCAAAACCCACACGACTCGCACATTTAATTTTTATCTCTAAATAATAAAAATTTTTTCCAAACCCTTCCTTTGCTCCTCCTGTGACCTATTACTATGACCAATATTTTTGTAACACGTCTTTTGCAAATATGTTTTCGCTTAATTATGTGAATTTGAGGCTGAAATTACAAATATCGCTGTTGGCGGTTACATTTCACTAAAATTTCCAATTACGGAGAAGTTATAAATTAAGCGTAGCGCACAAGCATCACTCCACAATCCGCTAAATCCAGGCTAATCAATCCTAATCAATCTTCACGCAGTTGTTTTTTGCATCGTCTTTAGCGTATTCCGCTTGCGTTTCACGTATATAAAATTCGATTTTCTATTTAATTCGTCGTTATTTAACTTCCAATTTTTTAATGAGTGAAAAGCCATTTAGGAATACTAAAAAAATTCGCATAACTGAATTATAAAAATGATAACCGTTGAGATCCAAAGCGAAGTAAAACTCCGTCTTCTTTTTTTCCCTCCAACTATTAATTAGCGTTCTTCGCCTTTCATTCTTCATTTTATTCTTCATAATTTTTCAATTACAGTTGTTTTTTTCGCTAATAACGACAATAATAATAACAATGTTAAACTGCTATTGTTAAAGAATCAATCAACTTTACTTATTTTTTACGATTACAATTAGTTTTGAAAAAGAAAAATTAAAGTGAAAATTGAAAATACTGAAAATATACGAGGATAAGACAAAATGA